GGGGGGGGGGGGGGGGGGTTGGGCAAAAGTGACAGTTCGTGGCCGGACTTTGCCTAAACCATCCTGAGGTTCCCGCTGTAAGCTGTAACAGAAATAAATGATAGATGTAATGCAAGTGCACTAAGTTCTTTGTGGTCTGCTTTTCAGGCTCCGTTGATGAGGTAGTGCACGGCTGCTCTTTCACAAAATTTACCTACTACCTTTAGAACCTCTGTTCCCCAAAATAAGTGGTAACCGCTCCAAACCGAGCGCCTTTGGCGAAGTTGCTTGTTTAGTAGGCGCCGATGATATTACGCAACCCAAGATGGTCACTGTGACCGTTATTACCCCTGACCCACATTTGGAAGACTTTGACGGAGGCTTCTGGGGATTTGGTCGTTTATAGTTAAGGGTCGAAGATGTGCACAATCGAGCTTCAATGGCTCAAAGTCGTCCCTAAGCGTACAGCACCCGATCTTTACATATGGCCTCTATATGTATTAGTACCTTAACCCTTTCTTTATATATATATATATAATATATANNATATATATATAAGCCCACATCCTCCTTTTTAAGGCCACCATAATTAACTCCCAGGCTGGCCTTGCAGACGGATTGTCGCAGGGAGTGATGCCGGCTCTTACATGGGGTTTTGTAGGTTTTGGGTCGGTGTCATGAACGCATACCGAGCATTCAGAATCTTCATTAACTTATTCCATACCCAGATCGATAAATTAGCAATCTTTTCGACACTCGCTGCCAATGCATCATGGTCTGTGGCAGCTCACCTCGGATGAAGGACTGATGCATTATTCAATATAAGGTAGTCATATATACCTTCCCAAACTAAACCTTCACAGGACGACTACATCCTGAACTATATGGTGGCTCAGCTGTTTCTTCATGAAGGCGACCGGGAAGCATGTACACATACACGTGCACACACACACACATGCTAGCACAATACATCGACTGCCTGCCAGGACAGAATTATGGATGGATCTACACGATGCTTTGAGATAGTGCTGTGGTGGGTGGCCAGGTGGCATATAACTTTGTCATGTTTGCTACACTGCGAAATTTATGTGTCAGTGCACTGGGTAAATTGCCAAGGATATGATGATTGGCTGGCCTCGCATGGTGGCCTCAAGTGCCCCGCCATGTCCAAGAGTTCTGTCTCATGGAAACGTGCATGATTCGCTGTGCGGCTGCCTGAACTCAACCTCTTATCGTGTTTTTTCTCAATGTCGAGGGGCAGGATTCAAAGTAGCTTGCAGGCGTGCAGGGGCCATCATGGTGTGTTTGGCAGATCTCCTCGAAAATATACCCCTTGTTCGAAAGCGCTTTCGAAAAGGGAATGCGTGGATTCGAGAGCCTGGTGCTGATGCATCCGGGGGCAACGCTTTGCAGACTACACGAGCTGTTGAGCTGAACTGCCATATTCTGCGGGTTGTTATAGATTGGATGCCGAAAGCCAAACTGTCCATCCACCAGCTGGAACCCGAGGCCGGATCTAAAACCCAATTATGTAAATATATTTTACGAAACCCCACCTTAGAAGCAACCTGCCCTCCGTCTCTGTGCAGGTGAAGGGCCTCTTCAAGGCAATGAGCCACGTGCCAGAGAATCGCAGGCAGCCGTGGATTGATTCCTGGAGTGTCCGGACTTTGGTTTCATTTACTCTTAAGCGCCAGAGAGACTCTGAACGTCGGGGACAGACTCCAAGGGTTCCTTTGCCGAATGATGTGCTGCTTTATAAGCCTAGCCTACGTTTGTTAGTGAAGTCGGTTCTGAAGTGATTGTGCAAATAAGGAGGAATCGGTTCAGAAGCTCTACAGCTTGATCCGCAGGAAGCGCAAGGAGTGGGCTGCGGCTGCACGTCGAGCTCGCGAAGACGAGTTCGATGAAGACGCAGAGGAGGAGCAGGAAGAGCATGATGAGGAAGGAGATAATGGAGATGAGGGGTGGGATGATAATGAAAATTCCGATGAGCCTGACAAGGATGAGCAGGGCCCAGGGGACCCTGCGGATGAAGGAGGAAATGAAGAGGTAGATGAAGGGGGAAATGAAGAAGGGGAGGAGGAAGCTGAGGACAATGATGATCCAATCCTCGAGGTATCTGCGAGCCCTTCCACAAGCTGTCACATGGAGCAGAAGCGCGACAAGCTTGCCAAGATGAGGAGTGAGATTGCAGAGCTTGAACGCAAGCTCGGCTCGTGTCTCAACTGAACAATGTATACACACAAGATTGTGAACCTCTGCTTGAGAGTATGCTGTGTCAAGAATCTATGCTGATGCTGTTTGATAAGGTCTGTGGCTTCTCCGGCTCGTCTTCGTCGCTGCTACTCGCACACAAAATAAATATGTGAGATGTACAGTACAAGTCGGTGCATCGTAATATAATTAGTCAGCTGCCCAGCTCTTTAAGGTGAGCCGATCAGCTGCCCAGCTCTTTAAGGTGAGCCGATCGCGATCGAGGATAGCCCTGGTCCGCTTCCCCCGCCCGAAGAATCCCATCCTCCCGTACTTCGCCGTGCCCGAAGCAAGCGCCGCAATCCTGACCTCGAGGACTACCTTTATCTATGAAACCATGTCTCTTTGTCTCAAATGTGTCTATAACATTTAATATTAAACAGCCTGTCATTTCCCAGGAGACACAGATCTGGACGGATGGCCATCCCGAACCTGCACCCACGGCCCTCGTGCTAGAGCCTCCGGATGCAACTTGCATGGGTATATATGCCTAGATATTGGGATCCGCATGAGAAGGCGTAAAAGCTGAATCGATTTGGAAATGAGGTTTCAGGTCCTCCTGTCACAGCACAAGAGCAGAATGCATTGAGAGGCCGTCGCCGACCGGCAAAGCGTGGCCCAAAGGCCAAAGCAAAGGCCTATGCAAAGGCCAAAGCGAAGGCTAAAGCGGCAACTACGAAGAAAGGCAAGGGTGCTCCGAAAGCCAAGGCAAAGGCTAAGGGTAAGTCAATGCCAGCTCGAAGTGCAGCCGGAACGAATGAGATTGTGGAGGAGGCCAGTCATGGCAAAACGGCTGTGGTCCCCTCCAAGGGCAAAGGCCGTGGACGTGGACGTGGACGTGGAGATGAGTCTGGCAAGGCAGCAGTTCCTGCTTTGCCCGCAAAGGGCAAAGCTACGCCGGCCGTGGTTCCCGCCAAGGGCAGAGGCCGTGGCCGTGGTGGGGCAGCCGTGGCTGCCGACGACTCCGGTGCTCGTGAGCTCGGGTGCCCACGGTGCAGATGGGGCAAGAAGGGCTGTGCAACCTGTCGTGGGCCGTCTTATGTCTACAGAGGTGCCCGCGGCCGTCCGAGCGGTGAGAATGCTGCCTGATGTGTGTGTCACCTGAAGTTTTCGATCGATCCTTTCAGCAGCCTGAAGTGGATTACATGTGCAATCAGGGAGATCCTTGAGTGCACGGGGTAGAAGCCCAGCCAGTCCCCACAAACACTATTTAAAGTTGTGGAGCTAGCTTTACAGGTCTAAGCATTCTTAGGGTGTGGTGTTGGTGTTGTGCGGGACAAACCTGTGCTTTCTGGGGCAAACATTTCTGAGCGCGACTTTTGTGAAGCCGATGAAGGGATTCTTGGAAAATTGCCTGTTGTCGTTTTGTCCCCTGTGCTGTTATCTGAGTTCGGCTGCACGCACTTTCTGTATAAATGAGAAACCTCATCGGTCCTGCCGCCAGGTACATCGAGACATTGATGAGCTTAGCCTGGAGGCAACGGCAGCCAGGATTGAAACGTGCATCCCCCCTGCAGTGTGTATACACGAGTGATAGTGCGCACGGTTGCTGCCAATCGTTGGTGATCGCAAAACATGTTGCACGAGCTGCTGCTTCAGCTGCAACAGATTCTGGTAGTGTACATGTACATGTGAGCCATGGCTAGCAAAGCTGCGGCATTATCTACCTTGAAGAATCTCGTGCGTGTGTCAGCACCGGGAGCTCCCTGATGCAATCCAGAACGACCTCAAACTACAGAATACCCCATGATATCTCTACCATTGTGATCCCAGGTTCTCATCCTATGTGTACTTTTGATCCTCCGGACAGATGGCCTCGATCTCCAGGAGGCAGTGCAACATGGCAGTCGAAGATAAGCTGCGAAAATGATTTCGCCTCGGTTGTAGCTTCGTTGCGACCAGGTGCTTGATGGATCTGAGATATGTGCGGGCACGGGAATGCTGAGTCGGGTGCTTCAGCTACATGGCTTAAATGTCCCGGCTATGGATATCGCCTATTGGAAAAATCAAATCACTACCCGCCCGGTGATGAACAATCCATTGGACCTTCTGGGGAATGCCGGGTTTGTGTGCCTAGCTTACATTTATGAGGTGCTCTTGGGTATGCCGTTGTGTGTGCACTACACGTCATGCTAAGGCTGGTCTTGATCCAAACATTGAAAGCCAAGCCGACATCGACCTTCCATTTCGGACTGGTGTGCTCGAGCTGGGTAGCTGTCTGCAAGGACTCTTCTGGTCGAAGCTTCCTAAATCCCCATGGATTTTGCGATCTGAGCTGGGTTGCCGATGGCAACCTCATGGTCGCAAGGCTAGTGCACATACATGTCAACAGTCCATGATGCTAGCCGGTAGCTTGCTTGGTTTTGTTCTGTCCTATGCATTGGAGGTTCTGCTTGATTGCCTGGCTATTAATGGCTCGAGGCTGTCATTGGTGTTTGGAGCAGCCGGTCAGCTCATTGATGTATCGCCACAGGAGGTTTCAAGAACTCTGCCAAGCTGTGGTTGTGCTCCAGTGCAGATTAGTTAACAGTACATGTGTAACTGAGCCCCTGTTATGATTCGGCATGTGTGTTTTTGTGTCTGTGGGTTCGTGTTTATAGGCATATGTTCACACATAGACATGTGCATACATGTGTATATATGTGTGTAGATAACATTATATATCTGTATATTCACATGCATGTTCCTGTATGCACATAGACGTATGAATGCACCACCATATTTGTATGTATGGATGTATGCATGCATGTATGCATATATATATATATAAATATGTGTGTGTATGCATGTAACTATATATACGCACACACACACACATATACCTACCTACCTACCTACCTACCTACCTACCTACCTACCTACATACATACATACATACATACATACATACATACACGAATACATACATGCATACATACATACATGCACGCCTGCATGCATGCATACAAATACATACACACATCCCCATATATGTATAACTATATACATATGTATGTATGTATGTACGTATGTATGTTTGTTTAGATATATATATATATGTGTGTGTGTGTTACAGATGCACACAGTACACATGTCTGTACAGCCAAGACCCGCAGTCAGCCGAGGTGTACCGCCAAGCATTTTGGCTGGGACGTCTGGGTGCGAAGACACCCAAAAGATCAGTCCTTTGGTCTTCATCCCGGGCAATCTGGGACTTTCGGAGATTCGCCCGACTTACGAAGAGGGAGCGGGAGCGATGTCGTGGAAATCTAGTTCGTCGTTACCGGGACTTTTCGGGCAGGGCTCGCTACACGGGCAACAAGAACCTAAAGAAATCCCAGTGCCATGTCTGTCTTATTCATGCTTCACAGAGGCCGTATATTCTGGGACCCTCGATCCAAGGCAATACCCCTTCGCCTTTGCCATGCGATTCGCGAAACTTTGGCCTGCTTTCCGAGAATCCAAGATCCAATGGAGGCGCCCCCAGCAGCAGGCAGGTCCAGCAATGGCCCGGGTTCCTGAGTTGTGTTTGCAACACGTAACTACGTACCATCAAAATATGCATGGAAGGTTGCCGACGACTTTCGCTACTCCCATGCAAAAGAAGCTCTCTATGCGACAGTCCCGAAGGATTTGTGGAAGGACGCCAGAATCGGTGATATTATAGAGTACTTGTACGCCAACAAAAGGTTGCGACTGAGGGACGACCAAAAACAGTTGGTCCGCGATTTGGCAAAGGACTTTGCCTGACAGAGGAGCTCCTTAGATCCGGCCGAAGAAATCGATGCTGCTAAGTCGAGTCGGTTTCGGGCTTCCAGGGGTAGAGAGAGAGAGAGAGGGGGTATAGACATATACATATACATATACGGTACAGATACATATATGTATACAGATACATATATGTATATGTATATGTATATGATTGTGTATGTATATATGACTAATGTTTAATTAAACTATATAATTATATATATATATATGTGTATATATATTTATACATATGTATATATATATATAATGTATATTCCATTGTCTCTGTTTCTACATATTGCTAGGTTATGCTGTGTCGGGCTGACTTGTATGTACCGGTTATATATAAGTACATATATAGAGAGAGAGGGGGTATACCTGTATATATATAGAAAGATAGATAGATAGATAGATAGATAGATAGATAGACATCTGGTTTAGGGGGAATTCCTCGAATCCTGCACATCACTTGTGGTTCCCTCCTACATACCCCATGGCCGTGTCTTCCCATGCTTCTCTAGCTCGAATTGCAGGGGTTTCCTGGTATGTGTGGGGAAGTGTGGGATTTAGTGGGGCTTGGTTCGGTTCGGGGGATCTGATTGGCTCCGACTGTGATCTCTCTCGACTAAAAGAGACTGGCGAAGCTTTTTAGACACGTTTTACCGTTATCAACGTAGTCTAGTACGCATTTCGACAAAAAGCGCAGTGCCGTAAAAAATCGTACAGTGCCGTAAAAAAGCGTGAAAGTGCCGTAAAAAAGCGTATTCCCGCAGTACCTCAAAACTACGCACTTGTCGCAGCGGTTTTGCAGGTCTTATATTAGGGATGGGGAAAGGAAAGCCCTTGCGCCTCAACTCGCGCGCACACAGTTGTGCGACCCTCTACGCCGGCCAATCCTTTATGAAGGGTCAGTATACGAAACAAGAACCCGAGAACATCGAGCACGACCTACGTGCAACCTTGCTGCAGCAAATAAACCCTATTCCCGAACTTAGCCCAAACACCCAGTATTTATTTACCCTAAACCCTAAACCCTTTCTGATCCCAGGCAGCGGAGAAGCGGCTTGCCGAGCTCAGGGACAAGGCTCGCAAGATCGAGTCGTCGGATGTGGGCACAGAGGATCCTCAGAAGGTTGTGTTGGCATCCCCGGTTGTGCCAGCTGCCCGACCGATTGCCACCCCAGCCCGTGCAGTGTCAAGTGATGCTCAACCCGGCTCCCAGCAGCTTTGGGAAGAAGCTTTCCCAAATGACAGAAAGCCTGATCAGGATGATGATTCCCAGTCAGGTGCCATTGGTCCAGCTGAGGTACCCGAGGCTACGAGGACCAAGGTTCTAAGTGCTGCTTTGGAATCTAGACCGACCCATCAGCCCGAGCCCGCCGACTCCGACGACGAGTTGATTATGGATGTGGATTGTGTATCTAGCCAGCATACCCCAGATATCAAATATATCCTGAGTATCAACTCTAAACCAGATAGCCTTGAAGCATTACCAAATATATTTGCGCCCGAATGACCCAGGACTATGAAGAGCTTGGCGAACTTCTTCGAGCCAGCATACCCACGAAGCCGGAGTCGCCGATGACGCCAACTGCAGCCTACCTTGATTGAGTGAGTCTGTGATTCGATGCATGTCTTTGTATTGGGTGCTTATATGTACATTAGAGAATTGCAGGTGGCTGAGCCTTCTTTGGATGGCCAGCATGATGCTTATTGGCAGCCTGCTACGGATGATGATCTTCGAGACTCCCTGGCTACAACACAACCGGGCTCCCCTTTGCCTCGAAAGTTGTTCGAAAGCCCCCAAACCAAGTGCAGGGGAACTCCACCGGGATCTAGCACAAAAGCCCTCGACCCCAGAGACTCCCCCACAAAGAGCAAGCCTCCAGGAAGCAAGCATGGACAGCATGCACCCCCGGACAAGTCTTCGAAACCCAGGCATCGGAGCCCCGAGAAGCAATCTGATCACAAGCATCGGAGCCCTCACAACAAATCCCCGCCGAAGTCTTCCGGCAGAAAGCATCGAAGGCACAGCAAAACCCCGAAGAAGTCTTCCAGCAGAAAGCATCGAAGCCGAAGCGAATCCCCGAAGAAGTCTTCCAGCAGAAAGCATCGGAGCCCAAGCAAATCCCCGAAGAAGTCTGGCAGAAAGCATCGGAGCCCCAGCAACTCCCCGAAGAAGTCATCTGGCAGAAAGCATCGGAGCCCCAGCAAATCCCCGAAGAAGTCATCTGGCAGAAATCATCGAAGCTGCAGTGCATCTTCCTCGCCCAGGAGCCGGTCTAGCAAGGCAGATGGTCAGGCCAGTGCAACCCCAGCACGGAGCAAGAGTAGCCCCGAGCATGCAACCGCAAACAAGCCTTCTGAGACAAAGCCCCAGAGCAAGCTTTCATCCCCTGCTACGTCGGCAACACCTTCGACGGCTACAAAGAAGAAGAAGAAGGTACTCAATCCAGCCAAAAGTATAGCCCCTAGACGCCCCTACTCATATACAATACAGAATCCCTGCAGGACCTGAGATCCAACACGATCCGTATCAGTGCCAAGGAGTACAAAGCCTATGAAGCCACGATGCGCCGAATGTGCACTCCGACGGCCAAACGTGGTTCCTTGCAGGTGAGCGAAGAAGTTGCTGAGCGGTGGAAGAACACCAAGAGCCGCAAGCAGCTTATCGTGGCACTCATAAATTGCAAAGGGGACAAAGCCTCTCTGCAGCAAACCCTTGTTCATGCCCGGTGTTTAATTTGCCTCTCGCTTTCTTCTTCGTGCAGAAGCATCTCAGGAATCTTTCAATCAGAGGATGGAAATCGTTATCCGCAACATCAAGGAGGGCAAGGTCGTTATTGATAGTGGCTACTATACTGAAGCTGCGATGAAGTCCGAGCTGAAGTTCGATAAGCAACCCATATAAATATGGATTTTATTCCGATCTGTTCTGTGCAGAGATGTCATATGCCTGCCCCGTGATTGTGCCGCAGCCCAGGGACCGGGTGAAAGCCGTCGTCGCATACTGCACCGCGAACAGAGCTCGCCGCCGGGCTTTGACGAGGCCTGCACAGTGGGGATTTTTATAAATGTGTTAGTATCTGTGCTCGAGGGTCAATGGTTCTTAATAAGCTACCAGGCGAGACAAGTACCAGCGCCACATCGTCGAATATTGGATCGATGTGCGCACCAGCGGGTCCCTATCTCGGACCCACCAGGAACAGTTCTCTCAGTTCGTGGAGATTATCGACGATAATCTTTCGCTACCCCCGCCTATGCTTGGAAACGAAACCCGTCCATGCTATGATGAAGATGAGTATGAGGAAGACACAGAAGATGATGAAGAGGCTGATGACAAAGCCCCGACGACGACCCCAAAGCTTAAGCGCAAGCGACGACGAGGAAAAACCCCGAGCCCGAAGTCCAAGCTGGAAAGCAAGAAAAGACGAGAAAAGGCAGAGGCGGTTGAGACCGCTTTGGAGGCTTGCTGTTCTGATGAGCTGATGAACTTAATCAGGTACACAATATCTAATGATGTGAATTGTCGTGGCTTCAGGACATCGAGAAGATTCCCCAGGTGTTGGGGGAGATCCTGAAAATCCGAATCAAGATAGACAACACCCTCGACAAGTTGAAAGACTTGAAAGTTCCCAGGGATTCCAAGGATGATGCGAAGAAGTTGTCCAGCTGCACTATTCATGACTTGGTTTTGTATTCTTGTACATTTTTGAAAAACCACGATCTGTCTAAGGACGGGGTCGAAGCTGCTAAGCCAGGCTGACGAGCTCATGACCCTCCATGACAACCTCGCTGAAATCAAGGCCGAGAATGGCAATGGGGAACCAAGTGAGAAGCCCCTTAACTGAGATTACACCATGAATATAATCTAGAGAAAACTGAACGTGCACTTAACTGAGGACAATGGCCAAGCTGAAGGAGCACCTTGCTGCTGTGGAAAAGTTGTGCCCTGGACAGCATCCCACGCATGCCTCCATAGCCGATTTCGCTCAGCTGCAAACCTCATGCCCCAGGACAAGTCGCATCACGATGGATGAAGAAGCTGAAAAGGACGGTCTGGTATTATGGGCTTATATTTAAATTGTATGTTTATATTTAGGGCTTATAGGTTTATACAGGGTGTATAGAGTTGTTGATAAACAATTAATATATAGCTAGTAAACAGAACCCTCTACAACACACACACACACACACACTCTCTCTCTCTCTCTCTCTATCTATATATATATATATATATACCAAAACAGTCGACCCTAAAAGCCCTATATAACCCCCAAAACACCCTATCCCCCTAATAAGCCTTAATCTAAGAATGTATCCGAGGACTGTTCTCCGTCCCAAAGGGAAAGGGAAGGCCAAAGCCAAGGCCAAAGTGGCTGACTCCGAACAGGAAGAGAAAGCTGATGGCAGTGAGGATGGGGATGAGGATGAGAAGCCTCCTCCTGTCTCTAAGAAGCCCAAGGCCAAAGCCGTTCCTAAGAAAGGATCCGGAGCCAAAAAGAAGGCTTCCAAGTAGGTGCTAGCCCTACTGTGCATCATAGCTTGCATCGATGTGCTTAACTATTTCGTGGGCCTATAGGTATAAGATAACCTAGATCTCGGGTTCCATTATATAGGGGCTTGCTACAGATGGATCCACAGCGGGGCGAAGCTTTTCTCACTACACGCACGAAGAGTCGTGGTGTGGATGCATAGCTTGCCGAGCATGTGTATGCAACAATCGTGTCGATCTACTCCCTGGGGTGAAAGCTACGAGCTGAAAAGAATCGGTGCACGAGTACATGTGTTGCCCTCGATCGAAAGCTCTATCGTCGACCCCCAAAATGGATGCTGCGCAGGTGCTCGCCAAGAGGACAGGCCACCTGGTCACGCATCGGCGGCCTTGGCGAAAGCTCGTGGATCGGGGGTGTGGGTCTTCAAAACTATCCGATAAGACTTCGGTTGATAAGTTGTGCATATCTGAACCTTTATATATAGTCAGTGAATGGGTATGGGTTGGCTAAACTCGTCTTTGTGAACTCCTTTGTCGAAACCTTAACCAAACCTAAACCTACTGAGTGCCCTCGAACTGTATAGAAGCCCGAGAGCCCTATAGATGCCACCAAGCAAACCCACGTGTAGGAACCTAGCTACTTTGAAGATACCCCTGGAGGTCTCCGATCGCCTGCTATGTAGTATAGCTGCTGGGTTCGTGGACGAATGCCGCGATGCCGACCCTGACCTAGCTGAAAACCTTCGAAGCTCCAACCTACTTCGTGAAATGCACCGGAAGTCCGAAACGAAGCATGAAAGTGCTTGTGGGAGAGCTTTCAAGAAGGAGGGCCTATCTTGTCCAGTACCTATTGAGAAAGTCGATGTTGGTCATTCCACCATGCATCCTGTTCTCAAGTTGAAAGACTTTCTGAAAGGCTTGTCTTCGTGTGGGCACTTGCCATCGTTGTGGGGCTCCAACAAGGCAGAAGATCGAACTGATGTGCTGCCAAAGTTCTGGCGACGCTGGAAGGTCCACGATGGATCGCACCAGGTGTTCCAGCATCATCGAGGCTGCTTAGACGTGGTCTTACCAATCCAACTTCATGCAGATGAAGGGCAAACCTTGAAAAAGTCTGGAGTCATGGTAGTGAATTGGCAGTCGCCCATAGGATTTGGTGTTTCGACACAAGATGATACTGCAGCTGCCATGTCCGTGAACTTTCTGGGTAGTTCGATTGCGACAAGGTTTCTGTACACTGTCTGCATCAAACGGTGCTACAGCAAGAAGAAGCGCTACGTCCTGGACGGGATTTTCGAGAACTTAGCTGACGAGCTTCGGGATTTATTCTACAACGGGGTGTCTCTGAAGATCGGGGATCAAGAATTAACTTTCTACGCGGCTTCGATTGGTTTGAAGGGTGACTGGCCGATACAAGCTCGGATTGGACATCTCAGTAGACACTTTGCTCGTAAAGGTGTGTACGAAGAATCTGCAAAAAGTGGCTTTTGCCACTTGTGCTGTGCTGGGCAGGTTGGCTATAATCCAAACGACTACGGTGCACGAGCTGCATGGAGGACAACTTACTTGACAACTCCCCCTTTTACTGAGGAGGGACCTTTATGCAGGGTGCCACAGTCGGCCGCCAAAGAATACATGCACAAGTTCGACCTCTTTCATACACTTCACAAAGGTGTTTTTGCAGAGCTGGCTGCAAGTGGTATCGCCACATCTCTCAAGGCTATGTAGGTTTCGGGTTTATATACTTTGGGATTTTTAGAAACTTTAAGTATATATAAGGGAAGTTAGGGTTTAGGGGTTTAGGCTTCAAACCCAGGTTGTTATCACCGACTATCGGCTGGCTGGCAAAGGCGACTTTCAAGCACAGCTGGACTCGATTTACAACATGGCCAGGGAGCACTGCCAAGCTACAAAGACACCCTTGCATATGGACAATTTGACGAGACATCTGATCAAGTTTCCGGGGGACTACGAGTATCCAAGCGGGTAGGTTGTCCCTATAGTAGTATAGCGTTTTGGTTTCTATAAGTTTTCTATCTAAAGTTCTTTTTATGTGTTTTTCAATATGTATTCCTGTTTAAGTGAGGGGTTCTTTTCGTATCGTATGGCAACACAAATCAAAAGGAACTGGTTCAAGGGTGCGGATACAGCGGCCATGTGTTCTTTCTTGGAGTCTTTCTGGGAGACTTATATTGCTGGGCTTTCGCAACCGGATGCTTACTTGAACGATATCCTGTGCTGCTTTAAAGCTGCAAATCAGTTTTTGCAAACGATCTATCGTTCAGGCTTGTGGCTGAGTCAAGAGAGGTGTGCCACAGCGGCGCAATGTGGCATCGGCTTCTTGCGGTATTATCATTCAACCTCTCATCGCGCGTACAAGCTTGATAAGACGAGGTTCAAACTCACGCCGAAATATCATGCTCTCATCCACATTATAGATGCCTTGGTCACGAGCCATAACAATGGCAATCGATGGACGCTATCGCCGTTATCAGAGTCCACCCAAATGGACGAGGACTATGTTGGCCGAATATCGGTGATAACTACGAAGGTGCATGCACGGGTAGTGCATACACAAACGCTCCAGCGATACCTGGTGGAGGTTTCGACACAGCTCCGCGAGAGAAAACATGGGCCAAGTCGTTTCGATTAAGTTTGGAAGTAGTGGACCCCCGTCCAATGTATCCAGAATCTCATATGCTCATGATTTAGCCAAAATAAAACCGGCACTGCACCCAAATGCACTCTCTCAGACGCTCCTTTCGTTAGTTGCCGGTTATTTCCGGCCACCGGGTTCTAAAGGTACAAGCAGAGGACCTTTGCCAAGGTTTCCTGACGCATTACCGCAACGTCAGAGCGCAGAGTAATCGCAGCCAGCACTCCGACAAATGCACTGTGTTTGGCATCCTACAGGAGTCTCTTTTTTTATAAGTAGTAAATGTCTACACAGACAGACATGTTTTATATCGGAGCATGGATGAACAGGCAGACAGGTAGTTAAATCGACACACCGATGGGGAAACACGCGCACACACACACAGACACACACCCATGCAAACCGAAGTTTTGAAAGAAATCATAAACAAGAACTGAAGAAGTGCGTAGACCCAATACCTAATGATAAAACTAAACCTGTATGTGTCTAAATAATTGCTATGTACCACTCGGCTAATGCCGCAGCAGTGCTGGTTCCCGAATCGAGACGGCTTCGATGGCATGGCATGACATGATGATGTTGATGTTAGGTTGTCTCTTAGGTTGTCGTGAGGTTGCATGGTGGCATGATGTGACGACGTTTTCAAGATGGCCTCCAGGCTTCGTGGTGTTCGTGAGGTTGCCTCTGTACTGCACGGGGCAAGGCTACGAGTAGAGGAAGTCGCCTCAGATTTATGCATCTCTTTCAGCGCACGCGCGGCGCCTTGACAATTCGTGCTTCGAATTGACAGCCCTCTCGATGCTGCCGGCAGCAAAAAAACGACCCATTGAACATACACATGCATTGGGCTCGCGTTTGTCTCGAATTGACAACCCTCGCGGTGATCTTGGGTATACGTGCGATCTAGTGCTTGCAAACCCCGTGCATTGAAATGACGGTCTCCTGTTTACAGCCGTGGTCTCGAAGCACGCCAGCACATGGGGCCAAACATGTTGGCCGAGGGTATGTGGTCTCTGTCTCCCGCCAGTGCCTGAAACAAACGCATGTTTGCCGTGGCCGACACACACACACACACACCCACCCCAGTACATGGAGTTAAGTGGTTTGGCCGTGCTCCTGAATTCCGCCAGCACCGCGCGGAACTTTTTGCCGTGATCTAGAATCACGCAAGTACGTGAAGGGAAGCATGCTAGGTCTGTTGCTTCTGAATTCCGCCAGTAGTTGGGGAATACATGGTTTTGCTGCATCACGGATTCTCGTCAATCCAGCAGGGAAGCAGTGTGGCCGTGGTCTTGAATCACGCCAGTTTATAGTGGAAATAAATGTTGGTGGAGTGTGGTGTTTGGGGAAATATTCTGGTGCTGTCCCTGAATCCCACCAGTACATGGAGACAAGCATTTTGGCCGTGCTCTTGAAGCACGCCAATACATGGGAACGGGCATGTTGGTCGAGGGTTGGTAGAAGGGGCTGTTGCGGGTTTAAGGAGAGGAAGGGTTTACAGGTGCCTAGAGTTTCTTTGTAGAACGGTTTGCGATGTATGGCTGGATAGGTGCATCGATGGACGGATGGATGATGAGGGGACGGATGGACGGACGGTGGATGGGTGGGCAGGTGCCAGGTGGGTGGATGGATGGATGGATGGATGGATGGATGGACGGAAGGATGCATGGATGGATGGATGGATGGATGGATGCATGGATGGATGGAAGTATGGATGGAAGGATGGGATGAGGTTCCGAGTTACATGCTTGCTCCAAATGTTTAAACTTTAAACATTTGTTGGGGTCGCCAGCTTCTCCTGCAAGACTACTGTCACCTTTGGCATCCAACTGTGGTGAAGACTTCTCCGACGAACCGACACACACACACACGTACATATATA